CCCAAAAATATACACTTCAATATGTAGATAGAAAAAAACAATGAATATAGGAGGAATTTTAGCATAAAAAGTTCTTATGTTTGTTTAATTGGCTTATCTTTTTGTGAAACTACTTAGAAAGAAAGATGTGCTATCATATAATACTGGTTCGAGAATTTGAATTTACTAATAACTTTGTATGATTCTTGCGGGAGAAATTCAATAACCAGATTTACAGCGGTCATTCAAAAAATAGCTACAGTTTCAAAATTAATCGAAATTTAGCTATTTTCATGTAAAGATAAATCTGAACGAAAACACTGTTCAAAATCCGGAAAATATTCCAACATAAAATACTGGAATTCCAACATAATATACTGGAGTTCCAGTATAATATACCGGTCCAGCATAATATGTTGGAAGTTCGTATACAGTTGTTCCAATCTCCAGTATATTATGCTGGAACTTTTCGTGTTGCAGCAAAATAGTGGCTATTTTTCAATAACTTTGCAAACACTGGCTATTTTTAAATTACCAGTCCGAAAACTGACTAGCTCGTGCTATTTACACGATCCTTGCTGAAAGATGATTCAGTAACATGATGCACTAACAACAAAAGGAAACAGTTTGAATGATAATTAATTGGTGATACTAGTCCAACAATTTTTCTTAAGATGTTAATTTAAACTATCGGACAAGAGATATAGATCATAAGATAAAAAATCTTGGGACATAAGGTTTCTTAGAATTTTATTTCTGAAAAGAAAAGTTAACGTAACTTAGCTTACACAATGTCAATATTAAATCCTATGTAAGTTAAATTTAGTATTTTTGCACCAAAAAAAAATAGTATTTAGGTAATTATATAATTTTATGCGCTAATGATATACAACGTATTTGCATAATCATATCATTTAAAAGAAAACTGCATATAAGTATCTCTATGAATATAAAAAAGAAAATTTGTATTATTTCAGAGAAAATCAAATTACACGGAGTATGTAAGCTAAAACAAAAATAATAGCACGTGCAGATTGTAAACTCCAATATACATTAATGTTTTGGTGAGAGGCAAATAGGAAAATAAAATATGAACTATTTCTCATCCTACCAACTATTCCATATGATATTATTTTCAACATCTCCAACAATATTATCCTAATTTTCATAGATTTTTCAATTCTTAAAGATCTTACCTATTTTCTCTAGGAAAATCTAGTCTTTTTTATTAATCTAATTAATAACATACCAAATAATGAATGGTAAAGAATTTTGAACAATAAAAATCTCTTATTTATTTAACTTTCGTATCTTTTTTGAAGCTAATTTGGAAGAAAGATATGCTATCACGAAATTGAGTATAATATTAATCCAAGAATTTGAATTATTGATAACATTGTATGTCTCCATGCTAAAAAGATGATGCATTAACAAAACAAAAAACATCAAATGACAATTTATGATACTAGTGTAACAAATTTTCTTAAGACGATTTAAGCTACTGAACATAATGTACATTACAGAAAACACACACAATTTAGATACAAGATTTCGAATATTTTATTTCTGAAAAGAAAAAAAGATTAATATAAAGTAACTTAGCTTACATCACACGATATTCAATATTTAGATTAGGGAAAATGCATAATTACCCCCCTAACTTATACCCAAAGTTCCAACTACACACTTTTTCTTCACGGGAATCCTAGTACCCCCCTAAACTAATTTTTACCTTAATATCTTGGACCTTTTGTGCTGAGCTAGACTAGAACCCCAGTTAAAATACATGCGGTGTAGACACGCGCGTTATTAACCGATGGGCCCCCCGTTCCATTCCCATTTTTATCTTTTTTTATCTCTTCATTAAAACATAACTATCTGAGACCCAAAAAATTTCCCCCATTCTTCACTGTACTCTTCGATGCTTTAACCAAATCATCAAGACATAAAAAAAATTCTTTGTTCTCTTGCAATTGGAAACTAATAGATCGAAAACAAGTATAAAACCCCATTTTAATGGTTCGATTCAAGGAATGGGAGGTCAGATTCGAAGGTTAAACAAGAATAATGTTCTAGGGTTTTTCGTGTATCGATTGAAGGTCATATTGGAAGGCTAAGCTTTTTATTCGTCACAATCCAAGAGCAAAGGTTAGTTCTTTACTACATTTAATTACTTTTGTGTTAGTTTAGGGTTTTAAAATGTTTTAAGCCATTGCGATTTTGTGATTGGCGGATTAAATTTGAGGTTTCTTGTCTGCATGCTAACCTCAGAGATTCGATTGTGCATGGGTTCAATGAAAATTTTTGTTTTTTATCAAATAAGTACTTTTCTAATACTAGTATCTACAATTTGTCGAATTCTGCTGAATTTTGTTTTATTGATTTTTTTTTGCTTTGTTTGCATATAGGTATGAGTGAGTTTGCTTTAATCACTTTAAGACTATATTATGGTGGGGTGTTAGAGTTTGGAAATGGGGAACCAAAATATGTTGGTGGGGTAATGAGTGAATATTTGGATGTTGATGTGGATACCCTATCCTATTTTGAGTTGAAGGATTATATTAAAAAATTAGGGTACAACTCAAGTTGTAAATTTAGTATTCGGCCACCTAACTGTGGCATTTTAGGAGATATTGA